ATCCTTCTTCAGCTTGAACACCCATTTGTTCCTTAGTGCTTTCTTCCCTTTAGGAAGTTCTACGATCTCATAAGTTTGATTTTTCTGCAGAGATTCTAACTCATCCTGCATTGCTATTAGCCATTTTTCTTTACCCTTATGAGATACAGCTTCTTGAAAACTCTCCGGTTCTCCATCTTTAGTCAACAAAAGATATTCAGATGATGTGTACCTTGTCGATGGTATATGCCCTCGTTCAGATCTACAAACAGTAGGAACCATCTGAGAAGAGCTACCATCATCTGTGTCTGGCGGGGTGGATTGTGTCTCCCCTTGCTCTGCATTCTCTTCTGTCTCCTCGTCTTCTTCTGCTTCTGAGTTATCTTCATGCACTTTGTCCTCTTCTGGTGCTTCATTTGAAACTTGAGCACCCTCATTTGACTTCCGAGACATTGTGGGTTTTTCAATGTCTTCTATTGTCAAATCTTCGTGGAACACAACGTCCCGACTTCTGAACACCTTTTTCTCCTTAGGATCCCATAACCTGTATCCGAACTCTTCATTTCCATAGCCAACGAAAATGCATGGGATAGTTCTTGCATCGAGCTTCTGCCTGAGCTCTTTGGATACATGTGCATATGATGAACAACCAAATACTCTAAGATGTGAGTATGTAGGATCCTTACCTGTCCATAGCCTCTCTGGAACTTCAAAGTTCAGTGGTACTGAAGGTGATCGGTTGATAAGATAGCATGCGGTGTTGACTGCTTCTCCCCAGAATGACTTCGGAAGTTTAGCCATATTCAGCATGCTTCGAACACGCTCCATGATAGTCCGGTTCATTCTTTCAGCAACGTCGTTGTGCTGAGGGGTGTGTGGTACTGACTTCTCATGTCGAATGCCATATTGTCTGCAATATGCATCGAACGCTTTGGAAGTATACTCGCCTCCATTATCAGATCGGAGACATTTCAACTTCTTTCCTGTTTCACGTTCCACCAAGACGTGAAATGTCTTGAAGCTCTCGAACACCTGATCCTTCGTAATCAGGAAATACACCCACATTTTCCGAGAAGCATCATCGATAAAAGTAAGAAAATATCTGCTTCCACCGATTGATTCCACCTCGAAAGGACCACAGACGTCGAAGTGTACCAAACTTAACAACTCTGATCTTTTAGCTGAAGTAGAACTAAATGATACTCTATGGTGCTTACCAAACAGACAATGACTGCAAGGACCCAGTGCAGCATTCTTGTCGATGTTGATAAGGTTCTTCTTGATCAAGGTAATCAACTCTTTCTCACCGATGTGGCCGAGTCTCAGGTGCCATAGATTTTGAGAAGTCTCCTCATCAATGTTGAGGCTATCCGTACAAATCCTCAAATGGGTTTTGTATAATGTGCCACAAACATGTCCTCGAGCGATTGTCAAAACGCCCTTTGACATTTTCCAGGTGCCCCTATTAAAGTGGTTTTCATACCCCTGTTCGTCAAGACATACCACTGACAGGAGATTGAGTCGAAGGTCTGGAACATGTCTGACATCCTTCAAAGTGATTGTGCTCCCAGTACTCGTCTTTATTTGTACATCACCAATTCCAGCTATTCCAGAGGAACTGGAATTGCCCATCTTCACTGCTCCAAAGTCTCCAGCTTTGTAAGTTGTGAAGTAGTACCTGTGGGGAGTAACATGGTAGGATGCTGCAGTATCTACCACCCATTCAGTGTCCTCTCTTGAGACGTGAAGGCATGCTTCGTCATTGATAGTACAATACGACACATCACCTAAGATTGTGATGAGCGCTTCACCACCCTTGTTCTTCGCTTGAGAATTGCTCTTGCCTCACTCCTCTAGCAATTTGTAGCGATTCTTCTTCATGTGACACTCTATACCGCAATGGTGGCAGGTATAAGAAGGTTTCCGGCCATCCGAAGATCTCCCCCGACTTTTGCCTCTGCTTTGCCATTTCCCTCTATTGTTTCTTTGTTGTTTTCCTTGTGATCTTCCTCTATTCTCCGTCACAAGGGCACGAGTCTCATCTGTGCTCATGTCTTTCCTTCTTGCCTCCTCATTGAACAGTGCATCCTTGACCACAGACATGGTAAGTTTGCCATCTGTGGCTGAGTTGCTGAGAGAAACAACTAGTGTCTCCCAACTATCAGAAAGGGAACTAAGAAGTAGTAGAGATTGCATTTCATCTCCAAGTGGCATTTCTACACAAGATAGTTGATTTACCAGACTCTGAAATTGACTAGTATGTTCGGCAACAGAAGTTCCACTTTTGAGCTTCATATTGACAAGACGCCTCATTAGTAGGGCCTTGTTCCTAACGGTCTTGGCTTGGTACATATCTTCTAACTTCTTCCAAAGGGAATAAGCATCGGTTTCTTGTGCAACATGGTGGAAGACACTATGGTCAATCCATTGTCGGATTTGACCAATAGTTTTTCTATTAATTTTCTTCCACTCCGTTGACTTGGGCAGGTCAGGATTAATACCTTTCATCTCTATTGGATCAAAAAGGTCTTTACAGCTAAGGAAATCTTCCATTTGAGGTTTCCATAGCGTGTAGTTGGTAGCCGTGAGCATAATCATAGCTCCGGAAGATGAAGTTGACTCGTCAAAGGTCATTTTCACCTTTTAAATAATTTTGATTTTCTGTTTGAGAAAAATCGGAGCGGAATTTTGAAAAACAGGCAGCACCGTTGCGTCTGGAACGGCCGCAAATGGTGGGTAGGCACTTTCGGGGTCAAAATACAATTTTCGAAAAATTATAGCCCGAAATTATAATTTTTCAAAAATTGAGGGACCAAACTGCAATTTTTCAAAATTTTAAAACTGCCTGGTGACGTGGCAGGTGACGTGGCAGTGACGTGGCGCTGACTGAGCAATGACGTGGCAGCTGACTGGGCGCTGAGGAAAGATGGCAGTGGACTGATGACGTGGCGGCTGACTGTGCTGGGACTGCACATGTGGCGCTGACGTGTCGCTGACGCAGCTCTAGCTGGCTGATGACGTCAGCGATGACGTCAGCCGTCTTCTACCTATGGACTGCGCGCGATGACGTCAGCGATGACGCAGGCAGTTTTTGGCCGGCTTTTGGCGGCGCGTACGGCAGCTTCTGGTGGACAAAAAAATCCCCCAAAGTACCAGTTTTCTCGTCTCGAAGAGACGAATCCAACGGTATATTCAGATTGCAATTCCGAGCAATACTGAAAAACTCGATTTTTCAGACAGTATAATTTTGTCTGAAAAATCTGGGAAAAATATCAAAAGCTCAACCAGGCTCTGATACCACTTGTTGGGAATAACAGGATCGTGCTAATATGAGAGAAAAACACTTCTATTACTTTCAAGAATAGAAAGAAGAGACATACAAGCTCTAACTAAAAACTCTCAAAACAACACCTCACATATCTCTCAAGGATATTCACAACTCTTCTTGGTTGTGCTATGATGATCTATTCTAATTTACTTGATGATAAAAAGACTCTCCAAGCTCTCTATTTATAGCACCAAAACTAGGTACTATGAAGGTGGGAGGAAGGTGGGATTAAACATGAGGAAACTTCAATGGTGGTTGAGGAAGCTCCCTTTGTCATTCTTGCACATGGAGGAAGCTTCATGATTGTTGCTTGCACATGGAGGAAGCTTCATGCTTATTGCAATTGAATTCTTTAGGAGGACATGTAGCTTTTTTATAATTAGAAGAGAAAGAATGGAACGGGTAGCACCATTATAATCAGAATATTCATTTACCTATTTTAGTGGGATCCTTGATCAATGTAAAATAGTTATGGTAGCAATATGTATAAAATAAGGAGTTATTTTATTAATTAAGGAGTTATGTATTAATTCTTCAATAAGTTTACCTTTCAAGGGCAACTATGGTACCGAAAATTAAAAAGGGGGCGGATGATATGAATGTCACGACATGTCAACATGTGCCATCATATTAATACAAGTCATATAATGGGAAATATGATGACTTTTAGCAGGGCCGGTCCCGAGAAAATACGGGCCCTGTGCAAAAATAAAATGTAGACCTTTTCCTAAAATAGGTAGAAATACAATATAAGTGAAGATTATATTTGTAAAAATTTGCTACAATAATAATAATTCATATATATCAAAATACAAGTTATTCACTAACATAATAGTTAAAATAAAACTATTCTTTAACAAAATACACTTCATTGATTTGTTAAATTGAATTATAAATTAATAGTTAAAATAAAAATATTCCCTAACATCAATATAATTGATAGACGTAATGAACATTTGATACATATTTAATAGTTTGTTAATTTAATAATGACATGCAATAAAAAATAATAGTAGTTATTATTATTACAAATTAATATTTGATAGCTTAGAATCTAATGAGTTTTTAGTTATACTTTATACTCCCTCCGTCCCTAATAACTTTGCCAAGTTTGACCGGCACGGGGATTAATAAAGTAAAAACTGTGTGGTTGAGGTTTGTGCAGAGGAGAGAGAATTAACTGGAACCACAAATTCTTTACTTAAATGGGAAAGTGGCAAAGTTAATGGGACATCCAAAAAAGGAAAGTTGGCAAAGTTATAAGGGACGGAGGGAGTATGATACTCCGTATAAAATTACAAATTGAGAGGATGTTAACAACAACCAAATGGTTGAGTTGGTTCAGCGTCCTCATGGGTAAGATACCCACCAGGGTTCGAATCCTCGGGTGTTGACATTTTTTAATTGTGAAGCATGTGATCTGAATATTGGGCTCTATTCGTATGAAGGCTAAAAACAGAGACCATCACAATGGGGGACAACAGTGAAATAGAAGCACGAGAAAGAGAAGAAGCTATGTCAATTCCAATTATAGTTAAAGGCCTGTAGCAATCCTTCCGTCAATGCAGCCACAGAGCAAAGCAATACCTTCTGTACTTCTGTAGGTTACAGATTTACATCTCAGTAAGACTTCAGGATAAAACATTGATTAGTTTTTTGCTATCGATACCATAAAAAATGAACATACATTCTCTGAACGGATGTCTTGTGATGTACGGATTATTTATAGTTGGAATTGTACAAATGGTACCATTAAGGTTATTACAAGTTTTGGGACTACATACACAACTACACAGAACTACATACACTAATATACTCTCAAACTCTTAATCATGCAACCATTGGTTTTCATGATTATAAAACTCCTTATTATATAGCAAAACATACAGTCAGGATATTCCCACAAGTCCATAATTTATTAACATAACACTGGGAAATGTACTCATTTGTAGACAATTTGTGCTTTGGGAGACGCACGAGGAAAGCTCAGAAGTTTCTTTGGGGCCTCAGAAGCCATAGAAGAATCGATATCACGAGCTTCATAAATAACAACATCGTGCAGTGCAGGCGACTTAGAGAGTAGTAATTTCACAAGGCATAGTTCGATTTCAGATCCTCTGAACCCGTCAAGCTTCACTGTTTCAAGCATCCTGAAATCAGCTTCCATAAGGTCCTCCAAAAGTGCTGGATCAGCTACTTGAGAACGTTCCACATATTCAATCTCCAGCACACATAGCTTGGGGGATTTCTTAAACAATTGGCCAGCATATGTAAGATGGTCCTTTGAACTAAAATCGAAGGCATCAAGTATGATTTCTTGCAGATTGATTGCAATTGGAAAGGTTGAGGAGGCCACCGCAAGAGCCCTAGCCTACAAAATAATTGAAGGCAAAAATAGTACTCCGCATAAGATTAGCCATGAAATAAACTTAAAAAACAAAAGTAATAAGAAAATACTGTTTGAAAAAGACGAAAACATACTCCGTAATACATTAATAGCTAATACACATATACCTATCTAATATTTTATTCTACTAATCTTACGTTTTTCAATTTCAATATTTTATAATGTTTATTTAGCTTAAAATCTGCAAATCAAACTTGATGCCTTCCCTTGTTATTGTCCCATTGCAGTTTAGGATACTTGACTGACGATAAAGAAAATGGATCCCTGTCCGCACTCAAAATATTTTTAGAAAAAAAAAGTTACATATTCAGAAACTACATAAAAAACTTTACAAAGTTGCAAAAACCAGAATCAAATTTTTATAAAAAAAATTGATACATAAAGTAAGAGATTAAGAGTGATTTGTGTTGAGCAAGTGAATATGAAATGGGACAATAATAGGGGGATGGAGGGAGTATCTTATTCTACTCATTTTACATTTTCCTTTCCCTTATCTTTTTCTCATTATTGTTTTACTGTAAGTCCATCCAACTAAATTTCAACATTAGAAGTCCACCCTTTTGATAGATTGTTACTGTCCAGATTTTAGTGCAATGGAATTAGCATTATTTTTAGTATATAATAAAATACCATATTAGGAAAATGAATAGAGTAACAAAAGCGAAATCACAAATAGTAATCTTGGTAACAACTATTTTCTTAATACTTTGTACTTGTTTAGTTATAAAAGTTCACTTTTAATCACACATGTATACGGGTTGACTAGTGATTATAGTTATACAAGTTGACCTTTACATTCTAAATATTTATATATATTTAATTTAATTGATCATTTCATCTAAAAAATTATTAAAATTTTACATAAATACAATTACTAGAATTTTCATGATATAATTTATACACTAACAAACTAGTAGATGCAATACAACAACAACAACATCCAAGCCTTAATTTCAAAAGATATTGGGGTCGGCTAACATGAATTGATTCAATGAATCAGAGCCAAAAAGAGAAGAAAAATAATAAAAATAAAAAGATAAAGTAAGATAAGATGAATACGAGAACTAGTAAATACAATGTGATAAAAAAAAACTCCCTCCGTCCCACAAAGAAGTTCCCATTTCGGTTTACGATGGTTGATTGATGATAAAGTCGACTGGTCCATGTCAATACTCTAGATTATTTTTGTAAATAAATTTTATGTATTCAGAAAATATATTAAAAGTTTTATAGACTCGCCAAGAAAGAATTCAAATTCGATAAAAGTGGGATATAAAAAGAAAAGATTAAGAGCGATTTAAGTTGACCATATGAATAATGAATGAAAACTTTTTGGGACGTATATGTTAATATATAATAAAATTAATCTTAAAGAACTACAAAAACTTATTAAGAATAGGGAGACAATATATGAGAAATAAGATCTTACCGAATAATAATATAGCAACAATCTAAGTGTCACAATAGAGGTCAAATGAAGCTTGAGCAATCTGGAGCTTCCAACCGGACATTCAAAACCAACTTCGGTCAAACTTTTAAGTTTTGGGGCGCTGATGGCAAAACTCTTGATTTGAGAACACATGTACAAACCCAGCTTCTCAAGCTTCGGAATAGTGAAGACCAGCCTCTTATCAAATTTATCACTACCCCTAAAGAACTCAACACTGCGGAAATCTAAGTACGTGAGCCTGGGGAATATGCACGAAGCATCTACCGGCAAGTAGAAATCGAAATAATCAAGTTTCAGTTGCTTGATAGTGTTGCATGAGACTAGACAAGATGGAACCTTATATTTTGGTCCGGAATGACTCATAGAGAGGTCAAGCTCTTCAATGCCGTTTCTAGACATATAAAGACACCACCGGTCCAAATCAGATTGCTTTGGCAGCAGGGGGTTAGAATTGTAATACATCTGTAACTTAAACTTTTTAAGAGGTCCAGCCCGGAGAATGAGAATATTGTTTATTATGCTCACAATAGACAAGCTATCATTGTCAGAATTGCTCATGTTTTCGAGGGATCTGAAGAAGGCCGAATCAAAGAAGAGTTGACCTTGGCGGTACCAAGCTTCCCTCCACTGAGTTGAGAGGAGAGAACTTCTGGCGGCATCTCGAGTGGACATGCACTCCAGTATTCTTTCCTTTACCTCTTGAGGCAGTTCACTTGTTACTGTTGTCCTACGACGACAACTAGACATTATATTGAAAACAAGATTAGATAAGATTATTCGTCCGAAGGAGATGGCGAGAATCTTAGGTTGGTCTTTCCTGACTTGTATAGTTTAGTATATTGCAATATTTGTATCAATAGAAAGGGGATGGTCTGTTCCCCAACTGTTCCCACGCAAGGTAAATCATCCGACTCAAGTGGCAGATTTTCAACTGCAAAATTCCAGATATATCAAGTGAAAAAGTTGTTTACATTGTCAGTAGTTACACAATAACTACCATTCTACAACTGGCCATAGGTGCTAGTCGGACGCCAGCCCAGCGCCTAGCGCCTAGGCGGGCGCCGAGGCGGGGACTAGTCGAAGACAAAGAAAATGCATTTTTATCTATATTTTTGCATAAATATAATAAGCAATATTGTATTTTTGAGTGTATAAAATACATATATACATATACCTTAACAAACCTGAATGATAAAATTATCACATTTAATCATACGTAGTATATGATAAGTAATCACTTAACTTCATTATGTTATAAATATATATAATGATGAAATTTAGGTATAAATAGAAACATATATAGTTTTGTCTTAATTTACAACTTCATTTCTTTATATCTATGGCTAAAGCTAAAGTACGTATATCTTTTAGAAAATTAAAACTAAAATGGAAAGTAATGTTTGACGAATCTAGACGGTCTAGACGGCCGATTAGGCGAACTGGGCGGGCAACTAGGAGCCATAGGCAGCCAACTAATTCCCCTAGACGGCAAACCAATTAATCGGAACGCCTAGACAAAAATCGGGGCGCCCGACCACCGCCTAGCGCCTAGGGGGACTAGTCCATAGTCACATGGATCGCGGTACACATCGGTACACGGTACGAAAACGAGAACGCGGTTCGCTAATATAAAAAAAACGATACGCAAGGGGGTAGGCTTCTTCGGTACGCTAGTTCGGTACGCGGTACAATGTACCATAAACATATACTACCTACAATTTACTGTGTATTAAGTACAAACTATAAATGTAATAAATATAATATAATACTAGTACTAAACAATTAACTTCAACAAAACATTAAACAAAAAGTCTGAAATACTTAAACAAATAAAGTAACTATTTTTTTTGAAGACAAAAAATAAAGTAACTATAATTAACAAAAGTAATTAAAATATTAAGGACGAAGTCAAAGGTTCTGAACCGTCTCTTTAAAACTTTTGTGTGTAACAAAAAAAAACAATTCAACCGTCTCTTTGGAGTCTGGAAGGAAGTACGAAAGTCAAGAAGGGTCATTTAGATTTCAGAGGTACGAAATTACGAATAGGAAAGAGTCATTTAGACTTTAGAAGTCGCGTCACTTGGACTGCTGGATCGTCGTCCGCTAAGGGAAACTTGCGAATGATGAACAGGATACGGCGAACCACCTGCAAGTGAAGCGCGAACTGCGACCGAAATCCGCCGTACCTGAGTCGCGACCCAGCAGCGACCGGCGCGCAACTGTACCGCGATCCGGTACGCGCGATCCGGAACGCAAAACGCGGGCACCTCAGCGATTTCTGTATCTATGGACTAGTCGGACGCATAGAATGATTTTTAGAACAGAGGATATAACACATAACAGTCCGTAGATAAGCTAGACTCTTGGCTTCTGCAGAGTGCATGTTTTTAACTTCGATTGGAAATTTCCACTCACAACATTACAAGTTAAACCACCTGCAAATTTACATGAACCCACATAAATCACTTATCCAAGTAATACATAGAGATGGGATTTCAACATAATTTTGGCATATAGGTGATGCATTTATGCCTTTAAAAATCCAACTCAACTAATACATTTTAATTCTAAGGAAAATTCTTCAAGAAGGTCAAGAAAGTTAGCAAATATCTTCAGTCTATTTTATTTCTTCAGTAACATTGTACTTATTTACTATTCTCTCTATCTCGTTAAGATAGTCCCTATTAAAATTGTATCACACCAAAATTTGGTAAAGTTTGTGTGATTCTACATTATACCTAATTTATTCTTACTTTATCAATTCAATAATAAACCTACTTTTCTTAATAATCACACCACCTACTAATATCCCTCTTATATCCCAAGGTTATGAAGCTAGTACAACTTCGATGTAGAGTTCTGGCATATATATACACTGCTTTCTTTGAAGTAGACGTGACGCATAATGGAGACTTAGAGGTAAACATTCCAAACTTGAATTTTGCAGTTTCATCAAAACTTGATTTTTTGGTTAAATTCAGTACAAAGACTGCTTAACGTTTTACCTATGGTTTGCTCAAGATGCTAACCGCGAAGTACACTGTAAAATACTGATATCTCTAGACTAGATTCTTGGATTAGGGACACCGACAGAAGGTTTGAGACACTGAAAGTTAACGAACGAAAGTAATACAAACCTGAGAGGAGCGACTATTGAATAGGAAAAGAGTGAAAGCCGGATAGACGTTAGAGAAATCTCAGAGCGCCGATTGTCCACGATGAAGAGAGGGGACCCGGCCACAGATGGAACCACGGAAGAGAAATTAGGTTTTCCTATGGTGGGAAATCTAAACTTACCTAGATCTTGATATTTATACGCTGCGGTAGAATTTAGATTGTGCCCAATTTACACTACAGTAGAATTTAGATTGTGCCCAATTTACGCTACAGTAGAATTTAGATTGTGCCCAATTTTAATACTCGGTAGCTATCTTGTAAAAATCAGACTGGGAAGCGACCCGGCCGAACGATTGGGTCACGGGTCAGCCCAGACCCGACGGGTCAACTCGGTCAACGCTGGAAAACCCGGTCAACAAATAAATAGAATTATTATTTTAGAATATACAGTTTTAAACAAAACATAAGATGTATATTAAATTAGATGGGTATTAAATATGAATACAATGCTTTTTTAAAAATGAAAATACAATGTTTATTAAAAAAAGTGAAATACTCCGTATTATATAAACACTTTCACTCATAATATTAGGGGTTTTTTACAAGAATATTACTAAAATAAAACTTATTTACATAAATATGACTATTCATTACTACAACGTAGTGTTGTGGTAACTTAAGTTTAAAACTTGAACACGAATTACTATGATTTCATTACTACTCTAGTAACTAATCATATTTTTGCAAGTCATCTTTATTTTGGTCATATTTATGTAATTATTTCTAATATTAGTAGTAGCATATACTGTACTCTATATTACTTTATACGGAAGCGTATATAGTACAGCCAGCTCCCGGGTGTACGGTGAGAACTGTACAGGCGGTGGCATTTTTGTAAATTACATGAAATTTGCGTCTTGTACTTAATTAGCATTAAAACACGTCTTGTGAGCATGCGACATATTTTGTTGAGCATTAGAAGCATAACAATGAGCATCGTAATCTCTGCTTCATCTCTTCTAATTTAATTACTTTCTTTTCCTTATATTTTTCTTTATAAAAAATTTATTAAATTAAGGCAATATGATACTTTTGAAATATGCATTGTTATGCCATTTTACAAATGACCATAACATGAATACCCATTGAGCATACATAACTTATAAAATGAGAATTGATATGAAAATCATAAGTACTTTTAATTGAACATCAAGTCATTTTTATTGAGCATCAACTTGAAATTCTAAGTACCAATGATTTTCATTATGCAATTGTGATGAGCATCGAGTCTGTTCTATTTAAATGAGCATAAAATAACACCAAATGAGATATGTAACTTACAAAATGAGTATCAAAAAATTTAAAAGCTCATTTGTGTATGCTCATTCATTTTGGCCCTTATACTCATTTGAGTTTAACATTAGTATGATACGTTTGAAATGAGCATACAGAGGTACGAAATCAGTATACATAACTCACGACATGAGTATAAAAAATTCAAAAGATCATTTGTGTATGCTCATTCATTTTCGGTTTTATACTCATTTGAGTTTTACATAAAACTCATTTTTAATATGCTTGATATTCATTTGTGTATGTTCATTCTTTTTAAGCTTATACTCATTTGAGTTTAATATAAACTCATTCATTTGTTGCTTGGTAAAATCTCTTTATGGATTAAAGCAAGCCCCCAAACAATGGCATGATAAATTTGACAGTGTAATGTTATCAAATGGATTTAAGATCAACGAGGTTGACAAGTGCGAGTACGTGAAAGGCAATCAAAATGACTACCTCATAGTCTGTCTATACGTTGAGGATATGCTCATTTTTTGTAGTAACAATAATTTGATAAAAGCTACCAAATATATGTTGGCCAGGAGATTTGAAATGAAGGATCTCGGTGTTGCTGATGTGATTCTAGGAATTAAAATCATCAGAACACCTGAAGGGTTGATATTATCTCAATCACACTACATTGAGAAAATGCTTGGGAGATTCAAGAAATATGATATCAAACCCATGAGAACTCCTTTTGATTCCAGTGTTCACCTCAATAAAAACAGAGGAGAAAGTGTATCACAAGATGACTATCCTCGGGTCATAGGATGTTTAACATATGTCATGAATGAAACACGACCCGATATAGCTCAAGCTGTGAATAAGCTAAGCCGGTTTTCAGTAAATCCCAGTAAAGAACACTGGAAAGCGCTTATGAGGCTGCTTAGGTATTTGATGTACATCAAAGACTATGGTTTACATTTTCAAAAATATCCAGTCGTGCTAGAGGGATATACCGATGCAAATTGGATATCTGATTCCAAGGATACAAAATCAACAAGTGGATATGTGTTTACCCTTGGAAGTGGTGCTGTGTCGTGGAAATCTTCCAAACAAACATGTATTGCAAGATCTACCATGGAAGCTGAATTCATTGCCTTAGATAAGGCTGGAGAAGAAGCTGCATGGTTGAGAGAGTTTTTGGAAGATCTTCCTTGTTGGGAAAAGCATGTCCCTCCAATATCCATTCATTGTGATAGTCAAGCTGCAATTGGAAGGGCAAGAAATGCAGTTTATAATGGTAAGTCTAGACATATCCTTCGTAGACATAATACCGTTAGAAAACTAATAAAAAATGGGATCATCTCTCTTGACGATGTTAAGTCGTAAGAAAATATTACGGATCCACTAACCAAACCTCTTCCGAGAGAGTTGGTCGAGACGTCAAGGAGAGCGATGGGCCTATGACCAATGATCCAATAAAAGTCCACGGGGAAACCCTACCTATTATTGAGAGTGCCTCATAATTAGGTTCAAAGGGAAAACACAATTGTGGACTGGCTCGAGCGGTACTAGCCAAGATATAGTACACTCATGCCATGAGCATTTAGGGTAAGTTACGCTTTTAATGATCTCTATATCTTGATACGTTCAAGTAAGGTATGGCATGATACCTTCCATAAAGATCACCTATGCTGGTGGAAGAAGGCCGCTTCTATGAGAGTCTATGACACGAGATAAATTCTCCGGTGCACGATATACTCTCAAAACGAACACAAACGTGATAAACCAAAGATGCACTCGGGGCTCTGTGTGTTATTCATTGTCTAGGTTTACACTATGGCTGACGGTTCAAAGCAAAGTGCTACCGATTGTCTAGTAAATCCGATGGATATGCACTAAGGTAGGTTCAAAGTTTCACGACTACCTAACCCTATGCAGAGTTCCCATCTTCCCATGTCAAATTCCAATATGTTTCCTATCTTTAAGCCAATTTCCCATTCATGCGGGGGGATTGTTGGAAAAATGGTTTTACAAATTAATATTATGGTCATTAATATTATTTGTAAAAATCATTTTGAAATGAATGAGAAATTATTCCCCGAAAGATAAGCGTGAAATTATACTTAACACGCATACACTGCCGCCGTCAGTCGGTCGGGTCGGGTTCGGGTCTTTGAAAAGTCAACAATCGGGCTTAAGATAGGAAGATTTATTTTTGCTACGTTTTTCGGATAAAACCAAATAAAAGACACAACCATTCGTTTTAAAAGAAAGGTTGCTACGTGTGTCGGGCAAAATCGTCTTAAGCAGACAACACTTTTGTTGGGCTCGGTTGATTCAAGTATTTTCTTTTACTTCCATTTATTTAATTTAAGCATGTAGATTTACATGAATTTTGAATAACAATATATGCAGTAAGCGAATGAGAGGAGAAACTTTGAAACAAAAACGTGATAGCTTCACGTCTTCCACATTTAGTGCAGGTGATCTGAGTGGAAGTCCAGTTCTAGAACAATCATCCACAAAATCCTTGGAAATCATATGGAAACAAAGCATATATAAGAAAGCCTTGCATACGCTGAGTAATAATAAATTATAGGTAGATAAATGAAACCTAAGAAAAATACCCAAGGAAATAGAATAGTCACAATACCTTAATTTAGAGCGAAATAATCCAAATGAAGAGTACAAATCGATCTCAAGTCCAAGTTAACGGGGATAAAACTGTCCTTTTCACTACCTATGCAGGAGTTGAATTTTAAGCTACGAATATTTTTGGCAATCATGTGAAGATAACAAATTTTATTGCAACCTAGAAATGAAAGATCCTCCAGCATTGGAACATCAAAGACAAGATGTGAACAACGATTAAAGTAAATGCATCGAAACTCAAGTGAAGCGCATTTGGTAACATGTAGGTGGATCTGAGTTTTTGAACAAGCAAACTATGAAGATGCAATGACTTGAGTGTTAGGCATGACAGTACGAAATCGGGTAGCCGGTATTGGTGGCCTCCAAAACAGAGTTGGAGTTCTTCAACGCCTTTTCATGTGACTAAAAGAAGCCATTGATAGACGTCGTATGACCGGGATTTAACAGTGTCTTTCGTAGCATCAATATAATCAACCTCAAATTTTCTAATAGTTGTTCCTTTGTGGTGCAAGAGAATTTTGGTGATTACATAGAAAGCAGCATGGTTTTCGTTATTTCTTTCTTCCAAACGATGAAAGAAGTGAGACTTAAAGCAGAGCTGTGTAAGATTGGACCATATACCACCCCAATTTGTAGAAAAAACTACCGTTTTAGCAGCATCTTCAATAGGCAGGAATCCCAAAATATGGTCAAGTATATCCGCCGGAAGTTTACTTATTGGAAAATTATCAATCTGGGACCTAAAAGTTGGAAAATTTATCAATTCCGGACCTGAAAGATTTTTTTATCAATAAGGGACCTAAAAGATCATATTTCTATCACTATAGGACCTAAATATTTCACACCGTTATGTGGGAGTTAACGGAGTATGACTGTAAATATGCGGAATAAAAATAATGCCACGCCATTTAAAAACAAATCCACGTCTGACATACGTTCCCCGTTGAATTCACTTCATCTTCCAGAACCTTATCTATCTATCATTATTTTTCACTCACGCCTATCAAGCTCCTTCATCTTCACCTCCAGGTAAATTAATTAGGCTTTCAAGCGATTCACATCTGCCCTTACTCATCTCAACTTTATCTTCCTCCACCGACCATAAAAGGCAAGAAGGAAACGGTTACCAGAGCTCCCTTTTCGTGGAACCTTTGTTCTAGCTGAGGTTGATATTTAGTGCTCTGTAGGTTTTTTTAATTTCTGTCCAGTGATTTAGAGTTTCATGGAACCT